AACTAAGAAGATATTCCCATGTTAATTCTATATCTTTTCAGCTGTTAATTTTTTGTGAGTTTGTGTGAAAGCAGAGGATTGTAAATAACCTCTAAAGAAACACTGTGTAGTATAATAATTTGATGTATTTCATTAGTTCGTATCATATGCCTGCCTTACATTGATATACTTTAGTATGCAGTATTTGTTATTTCTGCAGTTGTGGTTATAAGTCCCACGTGTTTTCACAGTTGCATTTCATTGTGGGAAGACAGAGCCAGACTCTTCTCAGAGATGGGTAGCGGAAGGATGAGAGGCAGCAGACAAGAGCTGGAACGTGGCAAATTCTGATTAGGTATAAGGAAAAGAAAATTACTGTAAGGGTGGTAAAATACTGGAACAGGTGCCCAGACAGGTTGTGGGATCTCCGTCCTTGGAGGTGTTCAAGACTTGACTGGACCCAGACCTGAATTAGTACTCTTGTTGGAGCACTTAAAACTCTGAGTTGTGTATATATATGAACAGGGTTTTTGACTAAGGTATTTTATTTCCTGGGAAATGTTTTTTTTTTGTGAAACTTTTTTTTTTTTTTAAAAAAAAGCCACTTGGGAATGTTGGAAGACAATTCAAAAGCAGCCACATTCTAAAATCTGTGAATCATTGTAAATTCATCAAACTAAGAAGATATTCCCATGTTAATTCTATATCTTTTCAGCTGTTAATTTTTTGTGAGTTTGTGTGAAAGCAGAGGATTGTAAATAACCTCTAAAGAAACACTGTGTAGTATAATAATTTGATGTATTTCATTAGTTCGTATCATATGCCTGCCTTACATTGATATACTTTAGTATGCAGTATTTGTTATTTCTGCAGTTGTGGTTATAAGTCCCACGTGTTTTCACAGTTGCATTTCATTGTGGGAAGACAGAGCCAGACTCTTCTCAGAGATGGGTAGCGGAAGGATGAGAGGCAGCAGACAAGAGCTGGAACGTGGCAAATTCTGATTAGGTATAAGGAAAAGAAAATTACTGTAAGGGTGGTAAAATACTGGAACAGGTGCCCAGACAGGTTGTGGGATCTCCGTCCTTGGAGGTGTTCAAGACTTGACTGGACCCAGACCTGAATTAGTACTCTTGTTGGAGCACTTAAAACTCTGAGTTGTGTATATATATGAACAGGGTTTTTGACTAAAATTGACATGCATATTTCATCTCTTACAGGTTTGTAGCAGGATGATTTAAATAGTTTTCTTTGTGCTTCATGTTATCTGTTGGATAGGTAAACTGAGAGTCTGTAGAATTTCGAGTTGGAATAAATGTAAACATTAGCCATTGAATGGAGGGAAAAAAGTGTACTTTTCCAGACTGAGGAAGAAGTTTCCTCCATGAAAGGTAGAGGGAGAAGCTTAGAAGTGACTGTTCTTTTAAGGATGAAGTGCATTCCAGTCTATTCCAAACTGGAACCGTTAAGGTACTCTCCTCTTGTTAGATCTTCCCCATGGATGTCTTGGAGATCTGGTATTTCGGTGGCGATGTGGTTATCCATTCTAGTGAGGCACTAAAGAGAACAGGTTTGCTGGGCTCGGGTTTTACTCTGTGGGAAACTAATTAATAATTATTTAACCACTGTCCTGGTTTTGGCTGGGATAGAGGGGATTTTCTTCCTAGTAGCTGGCATGTGTTTTGGATTTAGGATGAGAATAATGTTGATAACACACGGATGTTTTAGTTGTTGCTGAGCAGTGCTTACACTAAGTCAAGGACTTTTCAGCTTCTCATACTGCCCTGCCAGCAAGGAGGCTGGAGGTGCATAAGAAGCTGGGAGGGGACACAGCCAGGACAGCTGACCCACACTGGCCAAAGGGATTGCATAACCTATGATATAATCCTGAACAAAAAAACGGTGGAGTGGGCTGGAGGGACATGGCAGCTGCTTGGGAACTGGCTGGCCATCGGTCAGCGGGTGGTGAGCAATTGCATTGCACATCACTTGTTTTGTATATTCTTTTATCATTATTTTCCTTTTCTGTCCTATTAAATTTTCTTTATTTTAACCCACGAGTTTTACCTTTTTTCCAATTCTCTTCCCCACCCCACTGGGGGCGGGGGGAGTGAGCAAATGGCAGGCTAAACCACAACAACCATTAAAAACAGGAATATAGAAACATAGCTAGGAATATAGAACTACAACTAGAAACAGTTCACATTTAATAGGAACATTAATTTCTTTAGCTCTCTTGCGTTTCAAAAAATAAAACAGATGTACAAAGGTCTGCCTAAAATCCCAGTCTGACTTGAGCTCTAGCACTCTGTCCCCTTCTGAGAAGATACCATTTTGGAATACACCAGCCTAAGAGGTAACGGTATTTTAGTCCTGTTGAGGAAGGAAGGGAGAAGGAAAAAAACATTGGAATACTTTGAAGTCTGTTGAATTAATAATGAACAGCTTTTTAAATTTTCAGTGTTTTAATATTGTGTACTCGGGTAGACACAAAATATTCTTTTTTTTTTTTTTTTTTTTTTGGTGCCCCTTTGGTTTTTTAAATAGGTTA